ATATACACATCTAGATAGATATACATATATACACATCTAGATAGATATACATATATACATCTAGACAGACAGACAGACATCTAGACGGACGGACGACAGACAGACAGACAATACGTACGTACAGATGTACGTACAGACAGACAGACAGACAGACAGACAGACAGATGTACGTACAGACAGACAGACAGACAAACGTGTGTGAATGACTACCAGTTAGCTGTCCTGTCACACTTCACCTCTTCATCGTGTTAATTTCCTTAAAATTGTCAGTAATTTCTCTGAGTCAGTTCTTCAGCACAAAGAGCTTCTTTGATTGGTTTGGTCACTGTAAATAAATGTAGTTTGACGTCCCTGTCTGATTCAAAAGTCATTCATCATTTCAAACACAGGCGGTCGCTCTTACGTGTATTTTCTTCTCTCCAGGTTGGGATGTCTTTCAGAGTTTTAAAATCCCGATGATATTCCTTGCGTCTCTCCTCCTGAGTGAGTCCAAGCAGCCGTTCTGTGGAAGGAAATCAGAAATTTGTTTTAATATACAAAGATGGTACAGAAACTGGTACCAACTAGTGTAGTATCCAGTTCCTGATAACACTATTAATGTAAGCTCTTTTACATAAATTATCTTGTTACGGTCCATTTAGTGCCACAGTGCCTTCTTTTTATTATTTATTCAATCTGAATGACCTCCACCCATGTTCACAACAGATGAAGGTCATGTTTGCATTAAAGTTTGGTTTTTAGCTCCTGCACATCTCTGGATTGCTAACATCATCACTTCTCACTTTTCCTGGCCCAGCCCTCGCTGCTTTTGATATTTATGAAAACCTGAATCTTAAACAGTCAATTCTGATTTCTTATTCTGCTTCAAGCAGCTGAACTCGTTGCTGCAAAACACTTGTACGAGTACTTACGGCTCAAGTCTGTGGCTAAAAGGAAGTGAATAACTCTTACAGAGTGGTTTCTCAGGCACCTGAGACTTTATGTGATTATTTAATTTAGGCTCACCAGCTGCTTTGACTTACAGTGGTTAACTTGTCCAGCTTATTATTGAGATTACACGACTTACTGAACTAAAGGCTACTGCACTCAGTCACAATGTTGATTATCTAACATTGAATTTTGAGCAAATAGGTGATTTTTCTGTTGCAGTCTCACTGGATTGAATGTGTTTGCAACAAACGGACTAGTGAGCTGTGCTGTTTGCACTAATAGTTTTGGAAAATTGTATTCTATTTACATGTGTTCTCTCATCAAAACTATATTTAAGCCTGTGCAAATTATTTCACTGACAACAACAGTTTGTTTTGTACCCACCATGGCAGCCGCCCATTGTTTATGATTGAATCTACTGGAGTACACTTTTGAAATGACAAACCTGGACATTGAGGACTGTAGCCTTGAATGTTCTCGGTCTCACGAAGGTGTCAAAACACACTTCCGGTGCTCTACACATACAAAAGCTAAAATAACAAGTGGTACACCAATGTACCCTGTTGGTGAGGGATTTGAATACTGAATGTTTGTAGTTATTGAGATGAGTGTTTTTCTAAACCTTAATGTTTCTGGTGCAAGATATTGAAGTGGGTAGGAGTTGCACGGTGTACGAATCCTGGCGAGTAGAGCGAGCAATTTAATCCATGAAAAGGTGCAATGGCAGAGCCTTGGTCACCATAAAACAATTTCTGACCACCCAAAGAGTCTCCCCTATCATTTGAGGAAACTATACTTTTAAGCAATTTCAAAATTAGAAAGCCTAATTTCCAATATAAAAACACTTACAGCTCGTCATACTCTTCTATTTAGGAGGATTCTCCACATCAAACTCAGGTCCTCTACCAGAGACCGGGGAGTGTGCGGGTTCGTTCAGTATCTTAGCTGTTCCTAGGACTGCACTCTTCTGGACAGAGAAGGTCTCTGAGGTGGTTCCTGATCTGTTGGAGCCAGTCTTCCTGTTTAGGTATCACAGCACTGAGTGCTCCATTGACCACTGGGACTACTGCCGCTTTGACTCCACATAATTTCTGTCTTTCCTCTTTCAACCTTAGGTACTTATTGAGCTTCTTGCATCCTTCTTGGGATTGCTACATCTTTTATCACTGCCTTCTTCATTTGCTTGTCGACCACCAAAATGTCCGGTTGGTTACCCATCACCTGTTTGTCAGTCTGGAGCTGGACGTTCCACAGTAGCCCTTCCATTCTCCACCACCACTGGTGGCATCTCCCACTTTGCCTTCTGGTCCTCCAGTCTATACTCAGCACGAATGCTTGGAGTTGAGCTGGGAGTTGGTGTATTGGTTAAGTCATATGACTTTTGTGGGAAAATATCAGGGATTCAGTGATCGACCAAAATTCGATCAACCTCGGTTACACTACAAGCGAGAGACAAAATAAGGAGGGACAGACAGATGGAAGGGAGGTATTTCCAATTCCCCCTTGACGCTCTGTGACAGGAAATAAAAACGTTTGAGAAGCCTGCAATATCTTAGCGGCTAATTTGAAAGAAATTTGCCACAGCAATTTATATGACCATAATCAAAATTCAAACAACAGCATTTATGACTTTTGACAAAAGCATTTATGACTCCCCCACCCCCCACCCCCTAAAAAAAGATAAACTGCTTGGGCAACCAATAAGGAAAAATATAATGGAAGTCTATAAACAGATAGAACAGATTAAACCCCACTTTATGATCCAACCACTCTGCATGGAGTCCTGAAACAAACTCATTCAGCTGCTTATTAACCTTTGCTCCTGTCTCTCCATTTGACAGCACAATATTATGTCCTTTAATTTGTCCCCAGAGTTCTCAAAAGAGCATTAACTTGTTACAGTTTCATCAAACACATGCTGTTCAGCAAAAGTGGCAATACCCTAATTATACACTTAGCTGTGAAACCATTGCAATATAACTGAACACAAACTGTGTGGACTTTGAAAACATAGCATCTGTAAATGATATTAAATGAGGAGGATATTACAGGAACTTGTTTGAAGAATCTGAGTTATGAGGCTTTTCTTCAAATCAAACTTAAACTCAACTTAAAGCATACAGGACGCAAGGTCTGACCAAGGACTGGGTTTGCAAATTAGCCTGTGGTTAGAAAACCTTTGTACAAAACAACGGTTTCTTCGTTTTTAACATGTAACATTGTTTAATGTGCTGTCCTTGTTCAAATAAAACTTGAATGAATGAATGAATGACCCTATTTTGGTAAGAAATACAGAAATCCTGCAGTGGGAATATTGGTTATACAGCCCTAATGTATTTTTGATCCCCCTTGCCTACTTTTTTTTATTCCCAAGCTGGTTTTACTCTACATAAATGAATAAAAAGGCATGTGAACATAGCAAAGCTCTATATTTTGTCACTAGATTGAACAGTAAGTAGTAGTAGTAGTAGTCAGTAAGGAATTCAAAAGGAAGTGTTAGATCTAAATCTCTATATTAAATAAGGCATATATGAGCTTCTTGTGTTCAACATGTTCAAAATAAAAAGATCAACCACTGTAATTCTAAATACATCCCTGAATCTAAGAATTACAGTACACTTGAGTTTTCCATTTTTCCTTGTATAGGCAATTATTTCAGAAAAGTCTTTACGTTTAGGTTTGTCTACAGCTTCATACAAAAGTCATAAATAAATTAAGTTGATCAGTTTAAAATGGGGAAAATTGTGGAAAGAAAGAGAAATGGAGTAGGGGTGGTTCTGTAGGAGGAGTTAGCAAAGAATGTAGTAGAGGTGTAAAGAGTGTGAGATCGGGTGATGTGTCTGAAGGTAGAAGTAGAAGGTCTGATGCTAAATGTCGGTGATTGGGCTCGACAGGTTGGATGTAAAGGAGAAAGAAAAAAATTTGAAGGATCTGGATGAAGTGATGGCGTATTCCCAGTGAGGAGAGAGTGTTGATTGGAGCAGACACATGTTGGTGAAAGACACAGAGGGGATGAGGACGTGATGAGTCGGTTTGGTGTCAAAGAAAGAAACCAGGAAGGACAGATGTTGGATTTTGCCAAGAGAATGGAAATGTCTATAGTCATCACTTATTTCCAAAAGAGGGAGGAACATAGAGTGACCTATAAGAGTGGAGGCAGGAGTACACGGGTAGACTACATTCCGTGTAGAAGAGGGAACTGGAATAAAATTGGGGAATGTAAGGTTGTGGGAGGGGAGAACATGGCCAGACAGCATTAGATGGTTGTGTGAAGAATGGCAGTTGTTGTGAAAAAGAGTAAAATCAGAGAAGACCAAATAGTGGAAGCTGAGGAAAGAAGAAAGTTGTGAGGAGTTCAGAGAGGAGCTGTTAAAGGCTCTGAGTGGTAAGAAAGACTGGTACAGGACATGAGGACAACAGGACAGTGGTGAGATGTGCTGTAGGAGTGACATAGCTTCAAGGTGGTGGTGGGATTGCATCAAAAATGGGCTCTGAGCCCCTTCTTGTTTGCTCTGGTGAAGGACCAACTAACAGATGAGGTCTGGCAGGAATCCTCACAGACTGTGATGTTTGCAGAAGACGTTGTGATCTGTGGTGAGAACAGGGAACAGGTGGAAGAGAACTTGGAGAGGTGGAGGTATGCACTTGAAAGAAGAGGAATAAAAGTCGGCTGTAGTAAGACAGAGTGCATGTGTGTGAATGAGAGGGAGGCCGGTGGAACAGTGAGGCTACAAGGAGCAGAGGTCACAAAGGTACAGGACTTCAAGAACTTGGGGTCCACTGTCCAGGAAAATGGAGAACGTGGTAAAGAGTTGAAAAAGAGAGTCCAGGCAGGATGGAGTGGATGGAGAAAAGTTTCAGGAGTTATTTGTGACAAAAGGGTGTCAACAAAAGTCAAAGGAAAAAGTTCACAAGATGGTAAGACCAGCTATGTTGTATGGGCTGGAGACAGAGACATGGACAAAAGACAGGAGACAGAACTGGAAGTGGCAGAAATGAAGATGTTTAAGTTCTCCTTAGGAGTAACAAGGGTGGGTAAGATTAGGAATGAGATCATCAGAGGTACAGCACAGGTTGAACAACTGGGAGATAAAGTTAGAGGCCAGACTGAGATGGGTTGGACATGTCCAGAGGAGGGACAGGGTATGTTGGTAAAGGTATTGAAGGTAGATTGGCATTTTTACAAATGCAGCTGCCAAGAAAAAGACAAAGAGGAAGGCCAAGATAAATTATATGAATGCAGTTCGAGAGGACATGGAGGTAGCTGGAGTGAGGACAGAGGATGCAGAGGACAGAGTGAGATGGAGGACTTGCTGTGGAGACCCCTGAAGAGGGAAAAGCCGAAGAAGAAATAAGTTTGAAATGGGGGGGGGGGGGGGCACATGCCATAATGACACTATTATCTTTGATGTTCCAAACTTACTGTTATACCTAAGCTCAAGTTTAGTTTCTACAATAAATTAACTAATAATAATTACTAATTATTAGTAGTAATAATAGTTGCTAATAAATCAACTTAAATAAAATAATACAATCACTACGCAAACAGCTTCAACAATTAGCTTTATATCAATTTGCACAGTTTTGTTTGTTTATCACAATGATGACATCGTCATCTCTCAGTCTTAACTTCAGGGATTGCCACAGCGATACATCTTCCTCCATATCACCATATCCATATCACTCTGTCCTCACATGATAACTAAAATGTGTTACTAGTAACAATCTTTAACATTTATTTCATTTCTGGAGATTGTCTCAAGACACTTCCTTTGTTCCACAACTCCAGCTTTAGCCCCTTGCTAAACCATTCATGAACAGTTTTAATAATAAAGATAAGAAATAAGTTAAATCGTTTCATATACAGTTTGCCGTACCTTGATTATGTCTTAAGGCAAAAGGTCAAACTCAGTTACACATGGGGACAAATTAAAAGCTTGATCCTAGCCGAGACACATTCTTGGTTCGTATTTATTAAAACAAGTTTAAAACTAAGCTATGTTTTCAGATTTAATGTACAAATTTTCACATATACACCTTTTTCCAAGATGTATATATAATTTAGAACAAAAAAAGTACTGATTAAAGAAAATAAGCTAACTTTATAAAAGGCATAATTATTAGGGGTGCACCGATAAAATCGGCCCCAATTTCCTTAATTTTGGGAAATCGGCCAATACTTGCATAAGAAACTGATTTTACCGATTTTTTTTGTTTGTTTTAACAATTGTCTAAACTTCATTTATATTTCAGAGCGCTACCTCATGGCCAGTTAAAACAAGTTTGTACTGTTTCTAGGATGTTGTTCAAGGGTCTGTTTTTCAACAAAATAAGATTGGAAATTGAAGGTGTATTGTGACCTTATAACACCTGACAGTGTCGATTATAAAACTAAATCGGTATCGGCCAAAATCGGAATTGGCAGGTCAGACTTTTTAGAAATCAGTGATCGTGATCGGCCAGAAAACTGCAATCGGTGCACCCCTTAATAATTATTATTAGTTCTTACAGATGAAATATGTTTCCAACTTTAACGGAAACCTGCAGTAAACTAATGTTTTCAGTCCTGATTTAAATAAACCAACAATTTCCGAATACATCAAAATCAAAAGATTACTGAAAAATTCAAGCTTCACCTCCATGGCTTCAAATCTAGCTACGTAGCTGCCATGAGAAGACTGCATTAACTACGCCTGGTTAAATAAAATAAAAATAAAACTGCAAGTGAGGCTCAGTCCGTCACAGATTGGTAGACCAGGATTTAGACATATAAAATGTTGTAGGCCACATTAAATGGTGAAAAGGGCCATTTCTGGTCCGCTGGCGATCATTTTGACACGTGTTTTAAAGCCGATTCCTTTTGGAACTCGTTCATTAGTTCTGCTACTTGTGACTAATTACCTAAAAATGAAATTTAAATATCTCTGAAATGTTTAGGTGATTTTAGAAACATATCAATTAAAAAAGGTTTATGACAAAACATTTGCAAAATCATTCGATAAAATTCAAATAAGCACTGGAGAAATTCAATACAGTTATGGTGATTAGTTACACCTGTGCGGGCAGGTAAATCATTCGCCTCACAAAGTAGTTCCTCCTAAGAAATAATGTAAATTACTTATTTACAGAGCTTGCTGTGTATTGTTTTGTTCTGTATATTTGTCACGTATTTTGTCAATTAAGTGGAATTTAAAATATTTAGTGATTCATCCGCAGTTCTTTACTTATTCACCGATATGGGGCAGTACCATTCAACGACAGACATTCGTAAAGCGGATCTGAATGTGCGGCCAGTGATCTGAACAGGCAGGTTCAATTCTGATTTTCTGCCCTGTAGATGTGTTTGGTTGGTTTTAGCGCATTGATACGACCTTGACCTAGACCTAATGTGAGCTCAAACCCAGGAACAGCTGCAGCGAAACCTGCTGAGACAAACAGTGGAGATATTCTGGTTTTAATTCCTTTTAAGAACAGAGAAAAGTTAAACAGGAAATTTGTACTGGTAACTACATGGTAGGACCTTAATCCATTTTGTGGCTTGTGTATTTTTGACTGTGGGGGGTCAATGGCGTTTGTGGGTTTGATCCCCACTTGAATCTTTTATTTGATTTGGTGATATGTTCCGTCATCATTTTTCACTTTTCTATTATTTTAGAATTGCTTCACTGAACTTTTTTCCCCACATATAACTGTGTTACAGTGGTCCCTCGCTACTTTGTGGTTCAACTTTTGCAAACTCGCTCTTTCCCGGTTTGTCAACTTTAATATTACTCACGTGATTGAGATGAGATTAAAAAAATTACGAATAAAATACTTCGGACAGGCACCACTATTTTTTAGTTTTCTTTCAATAAGCCTATACTGTAACGCCAGTCAAAAAAGAACTACACTACCCAGAAGCCAACAGTGCTTCCGGCTGCTGCTTTCTGCCAAAATGGAGGGAAAGTTTTGCAACGCAAATCTACTCCATCAATGAAGCTCAAAAAACTGGCAGGAAAGGCACAAATAATTCTGAAGCTGAGCTCGTCCTTCAAGTTGTAGGATCTTCACTGGTGAGTACTTGGGCTGCAGCTGATCTGGACTCAGTGTGACCCGAGTCCGGGAGCTGCAGGGAACAGACCGTGCGGGGTTCGACCTGGTTCTGGTCACACGGTGCTGGTCAGGATCAGGCCGAGGTGGTGGACTACATCCTGGGCAGCATTGCTTGCAGAGTGTCCTTTCTAGAGTGACAGCACATGCACATCAACCTGGACGGGGCAGTGGACTTGGTCATGCTGCAGGGTAGTCGAACCGGAACTGAGCCCGACCAGAACCGAGCTTCTACAGAGTTGGTGAGTACCCATAGAAAACTTTTCAGTACTGTACTGTTAAAAATCTTGGTGTTATTTTTGATCAGGACATGTCTTTTATCCCCCACATTAAAAACGTTACTAGAACCTCCTTCTTCCACCTGCATAATATCACTAAAATTAGAAACATCTTATCTAAAAATGACGCAGAAAAACTGGTCCATGCATTTGTCAAGTCTAGACTGGACTATTGCAATGGTTTATTATCTGGGTGTCCAAATACTTCCTTAAAACGTCTTCAGTTGATCCAAAATGCTGCTGCCAGAGTCTTAACTGGAGTTAGTGGGAGAGATCATATTTCTCCAGTTTTAGCTTCTCTCCATTGGCTCCCTGTCAAATCCAGAATAGAATTCAAAATCTTACTTCTAACCTACAAAGCTCTCAACAACCTGGCTCCATCTTATATTACAGATCTTATTGTTCCATATTTTCCTAACAGACCACTTTGCTCTCAGGCTGCAGGTTTACTTGTGGTCCCTAGAATTTACAAAAACAGAACAGGAGGCAGATCTTTCAGTTATCAGGCTCCTCTCTTGTGGAACCAACTTCCAATCTTTGTCCATGACGCTGACACATTATCCAGTTTTAAAACCAGGCTTAAGACTTTCCTTTTTGATAAATCTTATAGTTAGGGTCGGCTTATAGCATTCCTACTTTGCGTTTTTTTTACCTATCATGGGGGTGTGTGGAACGTAACCCCCGCGATAATCGAGGAACTACTGTACTCTGGAGTATTATTTCAGAACTATTACTTTAAATAAAATTAGAAATCCTGTTCAGAAAGCTGTGCACCTGTCGACCGGGGGTGGAAGGCGTCCGTTTCTCCGATTTATTAGACGAGGCGGTTTTTCACGAGACACAACCTCTACTCACACACAAACAAAAACAACAACAATAAATTAAATATTAAGCTAAATATATCGGTTTTAATTTCACACAAAAAAAAAAACGCAATTTGCAAAAAATTTCAGGAAATTTAAGCCCACCCCACTAAAGCTTTTGCTCACCACTGGCTGTACACCCCACGAGGGAGTGGTAGGGCAGAGGTTAAAGAAGGTGGGCCTGTAATTGGATGATTGCTGGTTCAATTCCCGGTACCGACAACATCAAAATGCAGGTGGGATTGGTGAAGCACCCATACCCGTCTCCAACCTCATTTGCCCCACTCTGAGCCCTTGAGCAAGGCTCTTAATCCCCATCTGCTCCCCCGGGCGCCCTAGATAGCAGCTCTCTGCTCCACACAGAGGGCTGTGGTAGCTCGGTGATTTGCGGTTGCGTCAGGAAGGACATCCGGCGTCAAAACAACTGCAAAGTCTTCGTGCAACTTAAGTTGTTGTGGTGACCCCTGAAGAACGGAGCAGCCGAAAGAAGAAGAGATAAAAAAAAATACACCTGAAGTGACTTGGGGGGTATCCAACTGAGCAAAACAGGTCAGTAACTCAGTAAAATAAATAAATAAAATCCTTTAACCTCTTTAAATAGTCAACAGGTCCCACTGCAAGCACATGGAGTCAAAACAACTTATGCAACTTTGCAGCATTTGAAGCACAAGGAGGGTTATTCTTCCTTCCGTTCCTGTAAATTAAAACATACATTTCACGTTTTGCTCCCATTAAACGTGCCGTTTATCTTATGGAACAGAGTTTGACAGCAGGTAGGGCATTTAGGTGCAGGAAAATGTGGAGCCTACAGGTGCACACAGGTAGAAAAACAGGAAATATTTGTTAGTGGCTGAAAGACGGGTACAGAAATAAACTGGGGTCAGCTGTGAGCAGCTGAATGGCACGAAGAGCTGAATAAACGGGTTGTTGCGAATGTCAAGCATTTAATTGCGGCAGGCGCAACAGTAACATCTGTACAGAGCCCGTGAGGGTAACAAATAAAACAAGTTGTGAAAGCAATAAGCAGAAAGCAAACAAAGTGTCCGTCAATATTCCTGCATAGTTAGGATTTATGCTGTGTGTGCCGTGGACATCATTCCATAACTCCCCCCCAAAACAAGCCTTACCTTTTTCAGTCTTCCAGTCCTTTTTCTTCTTGCTCATGCTGCCGGAGTAATAAGACTTCGAATGGTTGTTTTTTGACTGTGACAACCCCAGGCTCACAGTAAAGAGAGTCCCGAGGAGAAAATAAATCCAGAAATGTAAAGTGAAACAGCCTCTGGACGGTCGTCTCACCTGTGAAGCTGTCAAATTTCTATGGACCTCAGGCCGCTCTAACTAGCATGACAGCGCCGTAGATTTCTGTGTACGAATCTGCGCCTTCTGATTGGCTCTCGGGAACGGAAATGTCGGCGTCTGATTGGTCAGTGGAATGTGTCAATCATGGAACGTTCACGCAGAGTGTGGAACAACCAACCTTGACTTCGCTCTGCGTAAAGATTTCACTTAGAGCTAAAAGTTTATGCTTATGTTCGTCAGTAAAACACAATTTATGTTTGTTTAAACCAGAAAAGTAACATGGTTTTAATTTAATATATCGAAATAACTGTAAAGCCATTATAGCTGAGCAGTTATGTGTTACTTTTTGTCCTAATAAAACCCTAACTGTTGTGAGAGTTATGTCCATGATATGGTTAAATTTCATTAGTGCTCATTGTTTGGCTGCATTTATTGTTCAGTTACATTCCAAATCAAATGTTTCAAGCAAATCTATCAAACGTTTGCATGTGATGACCTCACATGCATGAAAAAAAGCATGCAAATTATTCATCAAAATGTATAATTTGCAAGTTTCATTTCAAAAGTGAGTGTTGGAAATACAAGTACACAATGACATTGTGCCTGCGTCATGAAATATTTGTCATAAAATTGAATGCATTTTTGGAAAGACAGTATAATAGCTTGTTACAAAACATAAATAAAAGCAAATTAACGTAGCTGAGATGTTGAGCAGTTGTGGAGATTTGTCATGAGAACGCCTGCATTGCTACAATGGCTAACAACACAGCATAGAGAAGAATCTGATGTTTCTTTTAGATTATTTGAGTCACTATCAGAGAGAGACAAAGAGTCAGAGTTTTAATATTATTGCTTCATTAAACAAAGACCAGGGTTTTAAGATAATTCCCCTTTGAGGTCACTTCCTGTTTCACTTTGGCTGCCAGTTATGTGACAAAACTGGTAAAATCACAAGTATTGTTTCAATTTTTTTTTTTTTTACATATTTGGACGTTTTCTCCCACGTTATGCATTTGTTGGAAATGCATGTTGCACGTGTTTAAATGCTTGTGCATTCCCACACTTATTTAGTATTTGGACCAAGACCAAAATATTCTGCAAGATGAGGATTTAACAATATGAACTTTTTTTTCTCTTCTAATCACATTAGATTTGTTCCTTTCAGCAGAAGACTTTAAATGTTACTGTTGTGAAGCATTAAATATATTAACAGATAAAGATTTGTTCTTGTCCATACTGGGGGTGAGCTCAGGTTAGACCAGATCAGAGCAACAAGTCAGTCTGGTTCCAGAGACCACGGTCTGTTGTGTTAGCAGCACTCTGGTCCAGATCCATCTGCTCCTGAAGCGTTACCAGAAAAAAAGGAACATTTGTCTTTCTCTGATCTCCAACCAGTTTTTAAATTAAAGTATATCCAGGTTTGAAGCAGAATCATTTGTTTAAATGGAAAACTGCTTTAATTAATACAGTAATGTATGAACCTGACTCCTTAGTTTGGACGTTCACTTTCATAAGAAAATGCATTTACTTTGGCCTTTATTTATTTACACAATGATTTAATGTCACGTCTCTTTCTTCTCCATGATTCAGATCTTACCAGGTTGCTTCTTCTCCATTTCTGCTTCTTCCTCTGGTTTACATTGGGGGAACAAAAGGAGATTTGTGTGCAGAAGCAGCCATGTGCTGTTCAATTAAAACCACTAGATGTCCACCTTGCATCGTCTGAAGAAACAGATTGAAGTCCTGCATCAAACTGTCTCATAATAAATAATAATCTAAAGTGCACTTCAGTTTTTTTTTAACTCAGATAATGAAGGAAAAATATACTAGACTATTGAAGTTCTGTGATTATATACAGCATCGTATAAATAAATGTAAAGAATTAGCATTAAAAACTAATTTTTTTACGGGTGTAATGGTTTATTCAATTAATTAAAGTGACATTAAAAGTTCATTTTTTTGTCTCCGGAGTTCCAGTGGCACTTTAATGTTTGTCTTTTCAAACAGCTTAACATGCAGCTCATTCAGGAAATGAATGGAGTGCCATTTGGGATTTTGTAGCTTTTATAATTTGAATTTATTAATAATTTCATAATATTTATGTAGCTTTCAGTCATCCAAGACATGATAAATCCTGAAGAATAAAAATAAAACAGCTGGACTCTTCAGCATCTGGGTAGCTATCTCCAGTTTTGAATTGAGAAGTCTAACTCAATAGGAAACAAAACATTAACTGAAAAGAAATCCAGTTATTCTAAACAATGTTTCTAAACGCTAAAAGTAAAATTATTTTAAATAAAAATCCATGCCGATTTTGCGGCTCATCCGTCAATCAGCCAATTGTGGTCATGTCCTACTTTGAAAAACTGCGAAAGAGCAAGTCTGCACAAGTCGAACCGCGAAGTAACGAGGGACCACTGTAGTTATAAAAACAGTCAAATCAAGATGCCATACAAAACAAGGTAAATATACTAAAGACAAGAACAAATTTGTCTCAGGAGTGTTGAACCCAATTGCAGGAGGCTCGATGAAAAAATCAAAAGTTTTTAATTTTATAAAAACAAAACAAAGGCTGACGGGGCAGCTTACTTACTGATAACCGAACAGGACGGAAAGCAGAAACACACCATAAGGATAATCCCGAGACAAAGACAAGACACCAGTGAACTGAATATACACACACACTGATTGGGACAATGACAGACACCTGCAGTGATTAACATTAGACACAGGTGAGACAGGGGCTGGACTCCAGTTCATCATTAGTCATAGCCATTCAGAAAGCAGGCCAGATATTTTAATAGAAATTCAACAAACACTAAACAGGATAAATATGATGGGTCTAATAATAAATTTTTTATGGATACCAGCTCATTATGGCGTTACAGGAAATTAAATGGCAGATAAAGCTGCAAAGGAAGCCACTAGAAATACATCAGTGAATTTAGTAGTTAGTTTTAGTAAAACAGAAATAAAACTTTGAATAAAACAGAAAATGAAGGATAAATATCAGAAGATATGGGAGGAAGAAAAGAAAGGACGTTGGTTCTATAAAATCCAAACGAAAACTTGAGAAATGAGAAGCACAGGGAGGACGAGGAGAAAAGAGAGGATTATTTCTCGTCTCAGATTTGAGCGTACTGGGTTAAACAGCACTCTTTTTATTTTAGGGAAACACTGCAGTGGTAAATGTGAGTACTGTGGAGCAGATGAGACAGTAGAGCATGTAATGTTACACTGCCAAACGTATGAGGAAGAAAGACGACAGTTGATTCAAAAGTTAAATAAAATTAAAGTAAAACTAGATTTAATTGATTTATTCAGAAATAGCTCGAATAGTGAAATTTATCAGATAATCTTTCATTATCTTAAATTAACAGTTATTTAAGAGAATTTAATCCTTGAGTGACATTTTGGTCCACACTCCTTACCAGTCGGTGGCGGTTATGCACCAATTTTGTTGTTTTCCAACCGCCAATTAACCTCAAAGAAGAAGAAGAAGAAGAGACAAGGGAAAATACTGAGTGGTGGAAACATGAGGAAACAGACAGAGACAGAACCAAAACCACACAAATTTGGCTTTGATTTTTCTAACGACCATATCAAATGTTTAAAATCTCTTAAAGAAATCAAAGTGGACAACTTCAGTTCTTTTTGCAAGGCCTTTTTAATTCTGACCTCAAAATTTTACTTTCAAGCTAAATATTTAGCTTGCAAGTTAAATATTTAAGTCAGAGTTAAATGTTTAGCTAGCAAATTAAATGTTTAGTTTGGAAATTAAATATTTAGCTTGGACAATAAATATTTAGTTTTGAAATTAAATGTTTAGTTTTGAAAATAAATATTTAGCTTGGAAATTAAATATTTAGTTGAGAACTATGACTTTTGTAAATGTATGAATAACATGATGAAAGTATGACTTTGAAAAAAAAACAACTTATTTTTCGTATGTTTGATAGTGCTACACGTTTCTCTCTAAATTTAATATTCCCATTTCTTCTGGAGATCATGCAAAAGTTTTTGGTGCTAGATTTGCATGTTATTCCGACAGACGCCAAGAATCAGTTATCATCAATCTCCCACTCTTACTCCCATACACTTTCCTGTTGGCAAAATATGTCTTCGCCCTCTTCTTCATAACAACAATAAGTCAACAACATAGGAGGATCTGTGGTGGAAGTGATCTCCAGCTACAAGTACTTGGGTGTGCACCTGAATGATAACCTCAGCTGGAGCAACAACACCACCAGCCTGATCAAGAAAGCTCATACTTCCTCAGGCAGCTGAGGCGAGCTGGTCTGGGAAGCTCAGTCCTCACCTCCTTCTACAGGTGTGCAGTGGAGAGCATCTTGTGCTCCAGCATCAACGTGTGGCATGGAGGCTGCACAGCTGCAGAAAAGCTCTGCAGAGAGTGGTGAAGGCTGCACAGAAGATGGAGTCAGCCTCCCCACCATCACAGTCATCTACACTTCCAGATGCAGGAAGAGGGCCACCTGCATCCTGAAGGACCCCACTCACCCAGCACACACACTTTTTGCCCCGCTCCCCTCAGACAGAAGGCTGAGGAGCATTAAGTGTAGAACCACCAGGCTGAGGAACAGCTTATACCCCGAGGCTGTTAGACTCATGAATCTCTAATCAGGAAAAATCACTGAAAATTACTGCGAAAAAAAACAACCTGTGAAAATCACTGTAATGCCACTTGGTTGTTGATATGTGCTGCTGATTCTTCACGATGCTGATCTCATGCTGCTGATTATTTCATGTTGCCTCATCCTCATCTGCTCATACAGACTCATGTTTGTGCTGCTGTTATTTTGGCTCACTGTTTTTGTGCCATTGGTGCTTAGAGTATTCTTAGAGTAGTGAATGTAATCAGGTCTCTCTTGTAAATGAGTCCCTGAGGCTCAATGGGAGTAACCTGTCTACATAAAGGTTGAATGAATGTAGTATATTCTTAGTTCATGACTCGGATCTTACCAATGTTTTTTTTTTTTTACAATTTGTATTTTTGTTGGATGTATCTGGGA